CTGCTGACAAATAGAAGTCTGAGGATCACAAAGAAGCATGGAAAGAAATTCGGGCCCAGTCATGGTGGTGCGAGCAGGAGGGTACTGCTGCGTGTGTCTGGGGCTGCATGGGAGGCCCAGGTTTGGTTCTTGCCCCAACCTAAATAGGCTGGGTTTGGTGGTGCACACCTGTGGTCCTAGCTAACTGGGAGGCTGGGGCAGGATGATTGCCACATAACCTCACTCTCTCTCATTAAAAAATGAACAGAAATTCATATGATCACTTACTCATGTGGAGCATGATTAGTCACACTGTAAAGAAACACAATGTTAGGAAACGGTGTTCTCTTTAATGGCACTTCTGTCACACTCACCACCTGATCTAAGAGCATCAGCAGACACAGAATGACCTCTATCAGAGTAGCTTTCTGCAGTTTACAAAGCACTCTTACATACACTGGAGGGCAGACCACAGTGAATATGCACAACCAGGTGAAACTGGGCAGATTTTAATATCATTCACTCTCACATCCACTCTTGGGGATAGCCAGTTTTACTGTCACTTTACAGATAAAAACTACTGACTCTGTGAGTCAATAAACCTCCTTGTGTGCTTGTTTCTCATACAGTCACTGCAGGGCACTGCTAGGACTTGTCTTCAAATTTCACAACTAGTGGTGATAAGAATATGCAATTTCCACATTAATCTATAATGTTAGTTAAAGGAATTTTAGTAGTAACCATTTATATTTATGTTACTCTAACATTTTAAAAACAGAAATGAGGGGCCAGCAGGTGGCATGGTGGTTAAGAGGCTGGACTCCCACATAGCTGACTATAGTTCAAGCCTCAAACTTGGTGGTTTGCTTTTCCACTTTCTCTCTCTCTCTTTTTCTCTCTCTCTCTGTCTCTCTCTTTCTCTTTCTTTCTGGTGAGCACACCTATAGAAAAAAATTTTAAAATAATAATAAAAAATAAAGTAATTTCTTGAAAAATAATAAAAACAGAAATGAACCTCTCTGGCTATTTTTCAAGACGGGCAATGTGGCAGACATTACCATCTCAGATTCACAATCGAGACGTTCCAAAAGAATAGAGATGAGAGCTAAAGTTTCCATATTCTTTCACAAATTCCCAAGTCTGTGCCATCCTAGACAGACATATAAATAAGCCAGAATCCCCAGAGTAGCCCTCCACATAAGCAAAGAAAACAACAAATAAACGAATGAATGAAAACCCCACCATCGCTAAAGTGAGCACGCCAAATTTACACAAAAAACATTCTCACTAGTTCACTGATGATCACCACTTTTGGATGAGTACAAAGTTACAAGATATTCTAGTTCATTCTTTATAAAGGCAAATATTCTATTTAAGATTTGTAACCTGCATATTATGAAGATGACTTAAATCCCTCAAAATTTAAAAACTTTGTGTGTTCTATCTTGAAATCCTGTGTTTTCACTCTGTCATTACTTGAAGTAATCAGAAAGAATAAAAGATACCAAACAATGGTAATCTTGTTTGGCATCTTTGGTCTAATCTTCATGAAAGCGTTTCTAAAGCAAAAGTTACCAGCCTTAGTTTTCTGACAAGACAAAGGGCGCAAACTCATCTGTAGAAAAAAAGAGTTTTCTTGGAACCAAATTTGAGAAGGTCTAAGTAATGTCCAACAGTAAATATTTTATGAAGCCATAAACTGAAAAGAGAACAGTTACATAAACTTTTAAAACAGACTAAGATTAAAAAGTCAGAAACCAAAATCCAAACTTTAAAGAGTTGTCTTACTTTTTTTCCTTCAGATTAATTTCAAATGATGTCATTTCTTGGTTGCAGTCAGTTGTTTTTATTTCCTTTATTGGATCCACATATTTTATTTCTTCTTGTGTCCCATTTTGTTGTAATACTGAAGGATAAACCAATAAAAAGTCCTGAATGAAGATCAAATAAGGAGTGGCCACTGGAAGAATTTTATTTTACTTATTATTTCATGCCCTTTAACACTGTAATTCTACTCCTGAGAATTTACCCTAAGAAAATCACATAGGCCAGAAAAACAGCAGTATACTCTAAGATGGCCACTGACCCTAGAGATTCAACAATGTCTAAGCAAATGACGGTTATAAGTATATAACATAATCTCACTACCAAGGAATGATTTAAAAAGAGTGTGTGTGTGTGTGTGTGTGTGTGTATGTGTGTGCATGTGTGCTGTTTTGGGGTATCCCTAACCCTGTCACAATGTACATGCAAATCAGCTGGGCTTTGTAACTGCCTCTATTCCAAACAGACTAAAGCAGAACAGGTTTTAATTGACATATTCTGCATGGAGACCCTGGTCCTCCAGCAAGCCCACACTATCCAGAATTACATGGGAACTTGAGTGTTCCCTTGAACTCTCTACTTTACAAAAGAACTTTCTAGAGCCAGCAGGTGGCATAGTGGTTAAGGTGTTGGACTCCCACATGGCTGACTGCGGTTTAAGCCCTAGACCTCACACTTGAAAATCACTCTGGGTGCATGAGTGTGCATGCCCAAAATCCCAGGAGGAGAATGGAGGAGAAGGAATTATGGCATGGTCCCCCAGGGGGGATGATTTCTCACTTTCCCTCTCACTGTCTCTTTCTCTCTGGTGAATGCATGTGCTCTAAGGCAAAAACCTTTAAAAAATAAATAAATAAAAATAAAATAAAATAAAAATAGGAACATTCCTGCAACTGCAGAGGAAATACCAGCTTTTCTACAAAAAGGTTTTCTGTCTTCAACAGGGACAGGTAGATAAAAGGTTTTTTGGGAACAAATGATAACAATCTCAGTGTTTGCTGAAGGAGAATGGGCAGCTGGTCCTGGGAAGAAAGAAGAGAAATGATCTCAGCACTGAACACAGAACTCTTGTAAGTTTGTTCCCATGGCTTTGAGCACTGATGTGGGAAATCGTTACAAAGCCCTAACATCTTGGAAAACACTTGTCATCAGAGGAAATGCTAGCAACTCATTTCTTTGGAATTTTTGCTATGTAACTGGCAAAGAGCTTATAATTCATTACACACGTGCATATACACACACAAATATGATTTATAACTATGCTAAAGGTGCTCAAACTATTTCAGTTTCCCTGATTATGGCTCTTTCTCTGGCCAAATAGGGACCTATTCAGTACCAGGCTCTTTTTAGAACTCAGTACCAGGCTCTTTTTAGAGCTTTGCATGTACACAGTACTGAATGACTAAAAGTTACCTCTGTCCTAGTAGAAATAATTTAGTCTGTAAATAAAGTCATGAAAATTTATAACGTATTAATGGTACATTAGCCATATACATTATGTTATGGTCTGTCTAAAAGGACAGTAAAATTGGCCTCTTAACTGTAAGGATTTGATCAACCTGATTTAGTTTCCAGAAGTAATCCAATATAGATTAATGATTAAGTTGCTTTATTAAACGTATAACCTGGGGCCAGCAGGTGGCGTGGTGGTTAAGGGTGTTGTACTCCCACATGGCTGACCCTGGTTCAAGTCCTAAACCTGGCAGCTTGCTTTCTCATTTTCCCTCCCCCTCTCTTACTCTCATTCTGTCCCTCTCTGATCAAATTAAAATAAATAAAGTTAAATAAAATAATTCTTTTTTTTTTTGGAGAGGTATTTGCTATAGGGCGCGTGAGCTCGCCAGAGAGACAGAAAGCGAGAAATCACCCCCTAGGGGGGATGGCCACACGGCAATCCCTTCTCCTCCACTCTCCTCTCAGGATCTTGGGCACACGCGCCCGGCGTGAGTTTTAAGCCACCGGGTCCGGGATGTGAACCGCGGTCAACTACGTGGGATTCCAGCAACATAGCCATTACGCTAGTCCCAATAAAAGGATTATTGAAAGAAAGAAACATAACTTTCTGAATGAAATAATAACCAAGTTGTGGGGAATAAGACAAACCTTTAAAGATGTCTGTGACCCTATTCAAACTTAAAGCTCAGGTGGTAGTAGAGGAAATGTTTGAAGATCACAAGGAAAAGGGAAGGGAAGCCTGTCTCTGAAGGCCAGAGGGAAGACTGGGTGTGTTTCCCTTACCTGAAGGACTGCTTCAAAGGACCCCTACCCAAAGTCTGCATCCTGGCCACTATCAGTTAAGTATTAGAAGAATTTGAAACTGATTTTCTTGACTTCTGCATAACTAAACAATAAAAGAAAATGGCAGTGCTTCAAAGTCACATTAGCAGAGGAAAACGCCTTTCATACCTCAGTGTATTAAAAAAAAAATCCCCCCTCCCAAAAGCAACACCAGGATCAGAGGATGGTGAGTCTTCCTGTATTTTAATAGCCTGGGGTTTACACAAAGCAGACAAAAACTCTTCTGTGAAAAAACGAATTAACTTTTACCAAGCAGTTCAAAGGTTTTCCTTTAGATTTTCATCACAATCTACTCTGAATGTTCTTTTGAAAGGTTGTTAACTGAAGAGGTTTTGTTTTTCTTGGTTCTGCTCACTACAAAGTCACCTCCTAATATTGATGAGCTACATGGATAGCAGTAAGTACCTGGTTTTGTGTGCCAACATGCCAGGGCACACAGATAAAGACACAAAGACATTTTATAAAAGACTGGCTTTCTGTGTACATATTTCTATGTTGTGACTCAAGCCAAAAAATTAATAGGAAATAAAAGAAACTTCAGGGTAAAACAGAGATTAACTTCAAAAGACCTACATGTCTCTTCAGGGTTCGGCTGGTAATCAAAGCTGAAAGTCAGGGCACATCCCCGCTCTGTTGCTTGATAAGGGAAAAAACTCTCAAATAAGTCCACTCCTCTTTCAACACACTCGAGTACCTCATCCGGCAGACTAACCCCACAGATGAGCCTGTAAAAATAACAGTGAGAACAGGGACAGAATGACAATGCCACTAATGAATTCAGTCTTCCCAAGAAACAGGGCACTACAAATAGTAATAATGAAAACAACAGGCATGGGAGAGGGTCGCAAGGGTCAGGGGTTATTAAACGTATAACCTGGGGCCAGCAGGTGGCGTGGTGGTTAAGGGTGTTGTACTCCCACATGGCTGACCCTGGTTCAAGTCCTAAACCTGGCAGCTTGCTTTCTCATTTTCCCTCCCCCTCTCTTACTCTCATTCTGTCCCTCTCTGATCAAATTAAAATAAATAAAGTTAAATAAAATAATTCTTTTTTTTTTTGGAGAGGTATTTGCTATAGGGCGCGTGAGCTCGCCAGAGAGACAGAAAGCGAGAAATCACCCCCTAGGGGGGATGGCCACACGGCAATCCCTTCTCCTCCACTCTCCTCTCAGGATCTTGGGCACACGCGCCCGGCGTGAGTTTTAAGCCACCGGGTCCGGGATGTGAACCGCGGTCAACTACGTGGGAGTCCAGCAACATAGCCATTACGCTAACTGCTGGTCCCAATAAAAGGATTATTGAAAGAAAGAAACATAACTTTCTGAATGAAATAATAACCAAGTTGTGGGGAATAAGACAAACCTTTAAAGATGTCTGTGACCCTATTCAAACTTAAAGCTCAGGTGGTAGTAGAGGAAATGTTTGAAGGACAGCAGGAAAAGGGAAAGGAAGCCTGTCTCTGAAGGCCAGAGGGAAGACTGGGTGTGTTTCCCTTACCTGAAGGACTGCTTCAAAGGACCCCTACCCAAAGTCTGCATCCTGGCCACTATCAGTTAAGTATTAGAAGAATTTGAAACTGATTTTCTTGACTTCTGCATAACTAAACAATAAAAGAAAATGGCAGTGCTTCAAAGTCACATTAGCAGAGGAAAACGCCTTTCATACCTCAGTGTATTAAAAAAAAAATCCCCCCTCCCAAAAGCAACACCAGGATCAGAGGATGGTGAGTCTTCCTGTATTTTAATAGCCTGGGGTTTACACAAAGCAGACAAAAACTCTTCTGTGAAAAAACGAATTAACTTTTACCAAGCAGTTCAAAGGTTTTCCTTTAGATTTTCATCACAATCTACTCTGAATGTTCTTTTGAAAGGTTGTTAACTGAAGAGGTTTTGTTTTTCTTGGTTCTGCTCACTACAAAGTCACCTCCTAATATTGATGAGCTACATGGATAGCAGTAAGTACCTGGTTTTGTGTGCCAACATGCCAGGGCACACAGATAAAGACACAAAGACATTTTATAAAAGACTGGCTTTCTGTGTACATATTTCTATGTTGTGACTCAAGCCAAAAAATTAATAGGAAATAAAAGAAACTTCAGGGTAAAACAGAGATTAACTTCAAAAGACCTACATGTCTCTTCAGGGTTCGGCTGGTAATCAAAGCTGAAAGTCAGGGCACATCCCCGCTCTGTTGCTTGATAAGGGAAAAAACTCTCAAATAAGTCCACTCCTCTTTCAACACACTCGAGTACCTCATCCGGCAGACTAACCCCACAGATGAGCCTGTAAAAATAACAGTGAGAACAGGGACAGAATGACAATGCCACTAATGAATTCAGTCTTCCCAAGAAACAGGGCACTACAAATAGTAATAATGAAAACAACAGGCATGGGAGAGGGTCGCAAGGGTCAGGGGAAGAACATAGGGCTTTGGGGGCAGAAACTCGGGCTTGAATTCTAGCTCTGTCTTTTATTTATGTGCTGTATTTTGGGGGGAAGGTTATTTATGTTTTTAAGAATTATTTATTTTATTTTATCTGTTATTATTATTATTTTCGATTTGACCAGACAGAGAGAGAAAGGGAAAGTGAGAAAACAAGCTGCCAGGTTCGAGACTTGAACTGTGGTCGATCATGTGGGAATCCAGCACCTTAATCACTGTGCCACATGATGGCCCTCTTTGGGAAGGTTTCTTAACTTCTCTGAGTTTTAGTTTTCACATTTAAAAAATGAGAACAATAATACATACTTCCAGACTTGTTGTAAGGATGAGGTATTTGAAAAAGCATATAAATCCAGTTTCTGACCTGAGAGGCACTAAAGGCTAGTTTCCTTTCCACTCTCATCCCTTCTGAACAACCTCCATAGTCTTAGACTGATAGCCTATCTATACATTATACAGATTGTGTGTGTGTGTGCAAAGCTGTGTGCTTTACTTTCTCCTTGAATACTTGTTTTGCCTTAACTATATTTTGACTATAATTATTTTTCATAATTGGTTCAAATGAAGACATTTATATCTACTGTATTCTTCACAGGTTCATTTATAAAGCAACTCTTGCTCTCAGAATTTCAACTCTTGCCAGAAGATCTAAGAATCCTAGTGGGCTTTCTCTGTATTTTCTCTAAGAAAAGCTTGCACTGTGGAATGATGAGATGGTTTCCTGCAGAAATGGGCAAGGTATCCTGAGTGTTAATAATACCCAGCCAAGTTTTGCCACTGTAACAAGAGGTTGAGAGGCCTTAGATCAGGGCTGGCTAGTATTTTTTGTTTGTTTTTCTACCCATTGCCCCTTTGCAAAGAAAAGCTCACAGATTCCTTGATTTCTAAAAGAAGTTTTAATAAAAAAGAAAAGGCTATGTAATATTAAACGAGCAGAAGCCATAAATACAGAGCAGTTTTCCGGACTGTGTATTCTTTTTTTATAGAGAGGTTTTTGCTATAGGGCATGTGCGCTCGCCAGACAGAGAGGGACAGAGAGAGAGAAAGCGAGAAATCACTCCCCAGGGGGGATGGCCATGCCGCAATCCCTTCCCTCCATTCTTCTCTCGGGATCTTGGGCACGCACACACATGCGTCCGGCGTGAGTTTTAAGCCACCGGGTCCAGGACTCGAACCGCGGCCGACTACATGGGAGTCCAGCGACATAGCCATTACGCTAACTGCTGGTCCCGCTGACTGTGTATTCTTCAAGCAACATGACGTTTCAGGACTCCCCTCCAACCGAAGCTAGTATTTCTACACACAGAAAGAAAACAACCCTGGCTTTCAAATTCAGTAACAGATATCTGTGAGCACGTAACACAAGGACGTCTGGAGGATGACTACAAGTACGGGTGCTGACTGTTATCTGTCGCATAACAGACAAGAACAGAGTGCGAGCCAGAAGTGCCCACAAGAGAACTAGGGTAAAACTGGGGGCCAAGGCTGGCTGCGGTAACAGAGATATTCTGTCCTGGGTAGTGTTCACACAAGTTTGAGTACATATATAAAAACACACTCAACTTGGGGCCAGCGGATGGCAGTGGTTACTTTGCTGGACTCTCACATGGCCAACTGAGATTCCAGTCTTGGACCCGGCAGCTTAAACTCATGCCGGGTGCATGTGTGTGCATGCCCAAGATCCCACGAGGAGAATGGAGAAGGGATTGCAGCATGGACATCCTCCTTGAAGGATGATTTCTCACTTTCCCTCTTACTATATCTGTCTCTCTCTTTCTCCAGAGAGCACATGCACCCTAAAGGCAAAACACCTCTAAAAAAAAATTGTTGAGCTGTACATAAAATTCATGCACTTTAAGTTATACCTGAATATTTTTAAGGTGGTAAAAGTACATGTAGTGTCTACTACCCAAGAGTTTTAGAGGAGTATAAAGTAGCACTCTATAATCAAACCTCTTAATCTGTCAGAAAAAAAGGCATAAATAGTTACAGTATGTGGGTCAAACAACACAATCTTTAAAAAAAAAAAAAGGAAAGAAACCCTTGGATGGCCTAATATGACATCAGCTGCATTCAGAAACCAGGAGTCTGTAGCTCTGAATTTTGCAGATGATCTCTTCTCTCCATTCCACAGAAAATCCTACAATTTATAGACATAGAAGATCTGATCCCACCAGTGTTGCCAGTCCCCTCAAATTCAAAACATGATACCCCTTACTACCTGTCTCAAATCTAAGCATTTTGTAAAGGTTCTTATCAGTAAAGGCCATCTTCATTGCACTGGTATCCCAGATCTGTCCCCAACTTTCCTCAGTTTAGAGTTTGATGTGGCATTGTACTTGTGCAATGCCATAATGTATAGAGAACAATATTTGTATTTGGCACAAGAACAAGGGGAAGCAATATAACACTTGTCTTCGTGGATGAGGATTGAATGGAATAATTCACATGGCAATTATCCTCTGTGCTACATTGTAAAATCCAGCGCAGGGGAACTCCCCTCACAGTCTGCCTCAGCCTAGAAAGGAGATATTCAAAACATGAAAGACGTGCCCGCACGCAGACGGTTTAACACACAGCCAGCAGCACTCTGGGCCTGCACCCCCCACACCTCCGCTGGGGCTGACCAGCACCTAACTGAACACTAGCCTTGGTTTATCTTCCGGCAGCTCCGCAGTGACTGCTGACAGCAAGTGCAGTCTAGTCTCCCTGGTCGTTGGAGTCCCTTGAAAGCCATCAAGAAGAAAGCCACCGACGGGCCGCTTGGCTGTCTCTCGTGCTGACCTCAGCCTCTCCTCCATCACATCGCCACCCTCAATCACTCCAATGATCGTACTTTTCTGAAGGACCTGGGGTAAGAAAGAATTGACTGTAACCATTTTCAGTAACAGAGACCTTTGTTGACATGAACCTTACATGGAAGCCCAATGGACAGAAGAGATCTCAGGGAAGCTGCTGCAACTGAAGCTTATAAGGGGAACACAGTTCTCTCCTTCCCAAGAACTGGGGCTCCAAAAACACTCTTTGAATAACACCAAATAGGTAAGAAAAGACTGAGAAAAAAATAAAAGCAATCAACATATGTGATCATGTTCTGGCTAAGGTTAAACAAAATGTAAACTGATAAGGATAAGGATAATTAGAAAGAGATCCAATTTGAATAAATGATTATCCAGGCCTGCCCCTAGGCTACCTCCAAGTCTCTTAGCTGGAGATAAATTTAGGAACTTAGAAACTGTTTAGTTCAGATGACTGACTATCCATTTGGGAAAAAATTAAATAAAGAACACTATTATATACCATTATCAAATACAAGTTTGTTGGGTTTAACATCTAAACATAAAATATACAATTATACAAATAGTTGACAAATATATTGAGTATTTTTAAATCGTTTGGTAAGAAATGCCCTCCCAAGTAAATTCAAGCTTACAGGAAAAGGTTGGTATGTTTGAATATAAAATTCTTAAAACTTCTCTAGTGAGATAAATCAACAAAGGCAAAGGAGAACTTACTCTTTGGAGAAATATGTACACCATAGAAAGAGCACCACAAATTCTCTAAGAAAATGACAACCCCTTAGAAATCTAGGTAGAATATGTGAATACGAAATTCAGAAAAATAAATGTGAATGTCCTATATGCACATGGAGAGTTACTAAATCTCACTTGGAAGGAAATGCAAATTGGAAACATTTTTGCCCATCACAATAAGCACAAATGGCACTTACATTCCTTGATAACCAGAGAGAGTGAAAATTAGTCTAGCCACTTAGGAAGACAAGAAAACACTTATTAAAAAATGCCCTCGGGACCAGCAGTTGGCATAATGGCTATGTCACTGGACTCCCATGTAGTCGACCACAGTTTGAATCCCAGACATGGTGGCTTAAACTCATGCCAGGTGCATGTGCGTGAGTGTCCAAGATCCCAAGAGGAGAATGGAGGAGAAGGGACTGCAACGTGGCCACACCCCCCCCCCCGAGGGGGTGATTTCACTTTCTGTCTCTCTGTCTCTGTCTTTCTGGCGAGCACACGCACCCTACAGCAAAAACCTCTCCAAAAAAAAAAGAAAAAAAAGCCCTCCCTTTTTAAAATTTTTGCCATAGGGCATATGCACTTGCCAGAGATAGTGAGAGGGAACATGAGAAATCAACCCCAAAAGAGACAATCACATCACACCACAATCCCTTCTCAATTTTTCTCCTGGGATTTTGGGCGCACACTCACAGGCGCCTGGCATGATTCTTGAGCTGCCAGGTCAGGGACTCAAACTGCGGTCAGCCATGTGAGAGTCCAGCACCATAACCACTATACCACCTAGTGGCCCAAAATGTAAATGTTTTTAGCTTCTCTTTTTTTTTTTTCTTCTTAAGTTTTTGCCACTGGGTGTGTGCACTCACCAGTGACAGACAGAGAGAGGAAAAGTGAGAAATCATCCCTCAGGGAGGATGGCCACACTGCAATTCCTTCTCCATTCTCCTCTTTGGATTATGAGCATACATGTACACATGCCTGGTGTGTTCAAGCTGTTGGGCCTGGGATTCAAACCGTGGACAGTCATGTGGGAGTCTAGCGCCTTAGCTACCCAGCCACCTGCTGATTCCAGTGCTTTTATCTTTGGACCCCCTAATATTCCAGTGCTAAGAATCTCTTCTGTATGTACCCCTTATTTATTTCTTCCATGATTGAGCAAGATACAGAGAAATACCTACAACTTGATGCTGTGATCAACCACCAGTTAGTTCTGGACCATGGACACTTGTGTGCTAGGTGTATTCAGGAAAGCCTCCGAATGCAAACCTCAAACCTCCCCATGTGGCTTAGTCTTGCAAGGCATCGCATTTTACTGCTGTGCCACCAACAGTATACTAACAAAGATGCTTAGAATAATGAAAAGCTGGAAACAACCTAAGCATCCATCAATAGAGTAAGGGCTTAAAAAAATTATGACACATTCATAGCATGGCTTCCTGTGCAGCTGTTATTAAAAAGAATGCAGTAGATATAATAATGTATGCATTAGCAGGAAGACTTTCAGAATACTGTTAAATGGCGAAAAAAAAAAAGAAAAGAAAATTGCTGAATACATGGTCATATTTATATAATACAGACTAGCACATTTGCATATTATTTACATATATGTAACTGCAAAGAGTAAGGTTTGCAAGGGCTTTCATACACAAATCAACAGTGGCTCTCTGGTAGAAGAGAGGGATACAGAGAAGCCTGGAACACGGTGAAGAAATTTCTCTCTTTAGCTTAAGCAGGAGGGACATAGTCAAATGAATCCCCTAAAAGAACACTTCAGCTATAGCATGGAGGATAAATTAAGGGCCAGTCTGGCTAAAAGATGAGGTAGGAAATAACTTTAACAGTCCAGGTGAAAGACAAGAACTTCTGGAAGAAGGCAGCAGCAGTGAGGTAAGGAGGAAAGGTAAACTTTTATCAGTGGGTAGGGTAAATGCAACTTGATCAATCAGTTGTCTGAGGAGAGGAATGGACTCTTAGCTCATTTTGAAGTCTGGGGAGAATGTAATAATAGTGAAGACAGGGAGTTCAAGGAAACAATGGAAGATGAGGCAAGATGATTACTCTCTTTTATGCATTCTGAGTTTTAGGTATCAGTGGGCTTTATGTGTGGGCATGCTCAAAATCCCAAGAGAGAATGGAGGAGAAGGGATTGCAGCATGACCATCGCCCCTGAGGGGTGACTGCTCACTTTCCCTCTCACTCTCTCCTGTGAGTGCCCACACCCTATAGCAAAAGCCTAGAAAATAAAACAACTGACAGCCATGTAAATCCAGTCACTAAATACGTGAACCTGAAGTTATGGATCTGTTCATTGCTCAGGATGGTTCCTCACTAATGATCTCAGATGCAGCAATTCTCCCCTCTGATCGCTATCTTCAGTTCCCAACCTTTTCTGCTCTCTCCTAGTAAATGTACCCAATTCCATTAGCTCTGGTATCAGGATTCCTGACTTACTGCTGTAGCTTCATCTTCCTCATTCCATCGTAACTATTTGCCATCGGCAAACATTTACCAAGGACCTACTATATTCTCAGACATCCTGCAAAAATGACACAAATACTGGGTAGAAGGCCCAGAGTTTAATAAAGACAAACCATAACAAAATCACTGCAATACAATATGATTGAGAGAGCTACCATATAGTGCCATACAAATTAAAGAAGTAACAAAGGATGAACAGGACTTCCTGGGAGTGTCAGAGACCAGTTCCTAGAGTGGTGGATAGAATGAAGTAAGCCCAATCTGGAGGCAAGTAAAGGAATACAGCTGGAGATAAGAAAAGCAGCAGCAGTGCAGAAGGCAGTCTGTGTAGGCCCAGAGAAATAAAGCAGGCTAGTATCTCAAGGAACCACAAGTAACAGAAAGGGCAGAATGCAGGCCACAGGAGACAGCTGCCCACTGTGAGCTGGAGCAGACAGAGGTTAGGGCAGGCTCTTCATGCCATGTGAGAGCCAAAATGGAGAATCATTACATTTTTTAGGGAAGGTAACTGGCCCATATTTGTACTTCACAAAGATTTTTCAGATAGCACGCCTGAAGATAAATTGGAAAGAAATGAAAATGGAGGCTCAGCTGCAGTGGTCAGGTGGTAAGGTACCACTGTGGGTTGTGAGAGCCACGTGGGAGCCCCAGGTTCAGATCTTGGGTTGACTTGAACACACCAAATGCATCCACAAATGCTAGAAGCCTAGCTGGTTGGGAGACTGAGGGGGTGGTGGCAAGGGTGGCAGAGATTGTAGTGAGAGAAAACCCTGTCAAGGATACCCGTGTGTGTGTGTGTCTCATAAAAATACAAAAATAAATAAACTTATAAAAAAAAAAAAAAGAAGAAAGAAATGAAAATAGAGGCAGACAGAACAAGTCAAAGGTAATTATCTATAGAGACGATGAGGTAAGCCAGCCCTATAGCCTAGTGGTTAAGGGAGCCAGATCCCGCTTGGACAACTGCAATTATTGCAAAAAACATGCATGCATGCCCAAAGTCCCAACAGGATGGAGAAATGAAGAAGGAACTGTGGCATGACCATGCCCCACTGGGAGATACTTTCTCCCCCTTCCTCTGGTGAGTGCACACATCCTCTGGCAATTGAAAAAAAAAGAATGAGAGAGATGATGTTATAGCTTAAGGTGGTAATAAGAAAGGTGGAAAGAAGGGAGCAGATTCTAAATGTATTTAGGGAGACAGAATCAAAGAATAAATAATTGGACATTAAATGTGAATGAGGGAACCAGCAGTTGGCATAATGGCTATGACTACTCCCATGTAGTCACCTCAGTTCAAGTCCCAGACCCGGTGACTTAAACTCACTCTGCGCACGTATGCGTGAATGCCCAAGATCCTGAGAGGAGAATGGAGGAGAAGGGATTGGTTCCGAGAGGAGAATGGAGAAGAGATTGCGGCATGGCCATCCCCCCTGGGGAGTGATTTCTCCCCTCTGTTTTTTTTGGGAGAGCGCCCCCCCCGTAAAAAAAAAAAAAAAAAAAAAAAAAAAAAAAAGTGAACGAGAAAAAGGAGTCTTCAAACACTCAAATTTCTGGTCCGAAGAACTTTGTGGATGCCATGAACTGAGATAAAGTATTGAGGAAGAGCCAAAGGAACAACACATAAGAGGAGGTAAGACAGGTCTGATTACCTCTGAAAAGGAACATGCTAGAGATATAGCCTACCAATACCTAGTACATAATTCTGAAGTGAAGTAGAAAGCTCTTGATAACAGTACAACTGTAGAATTATTCAGCAACTATGGCAAAGGAAAGGCTCCCAGGGACAACACAAACAGTGTGATGAAAAGAGAACTTAAGATAGAATCCTAGAAAATAATACTTAGGCTTCAGCAAAGCACAAGCAGAGAGAATACTGTGAGGAGCAAGTGAGGCAGGGGAGGACAAGAACAGGTGTTGTCATGGGGACGCATGCTGCGAAAGGAGTGGGTAGTGCCGCCTTACCTCTGACTCTTCCTGTAGCCGCAGACAGGTATCCAGGAATAGAAGTGATCGGTCCACAGACTTTCTGGCTCTTTTCATGGAAGTTGCTTCCTCACAAGATGCCTCTCCATCTGCAAGGCACTGGAACCAGTCTGGCTGAAGGGCTTGCTGAATTGCCATGAACTTGGAAGCAGTCATTTCCACTCGTCCTCCAACACCCCACACAGACACAGACTGCCATGGAGCAAGGCCATGAAGAATTAGCAGGAGTAAATGCAAATAAAAAGAAATTAAAAAATGACAAAGCACGAATTGTTTTCTATAACTAAGAGATGATAATAATTCGGTATCTGTGAGTAAAAGACTTGCAATATATTCCAAATTCTACAGGGACCTTATAACTCATAGAGAATCTTCCAATGGCTATGTAAGCCAATTTCTGTTAGCCTCTAAAAATTCTTTGTTATTCTTTATAAGCCTAATCTTCCTTTCTCCCCTGTCCTGCCTTCCCCACCCCCATCCCTTTGCTATTCCTGAATACCACTGTCTTTCATTCCTCTCTGCCTTCAATCACCTGTTCTTTTTGACTAAAATACCCTTATCCTACTTTTTTTTTTTTAACCATGGAAACATACTAAGCATCCTTTAAGGCATTAAGTCCAAATATCATATAGTCTAATATGTTCCCCAAATCTTCCTGGGAATAAACAGCATTTTGTACTTACTTCTTTTATAGAAAAGATAACACCTATCACATCACTGTACATTTGTCTAACAATGGTATTCCAATTCATATTTGTATTACAAAAACAATGTCTAGAAACCCACATATTATTAGTATTTAATAAGTGTTTACTAGACTGAGTTAGATATAGACATAAGACTTATAGTTCATGACAATTTTATGTAATATTTCATCTTTACTCCTCCCCTATTATCATTTTTGTTAGAAGGGTTCAACAAGGACACAGATAGGCTACATACAGTTTTTTATTCTGTACTAAGGCCCAAGAGTACTGTTTAAATGGATCTTCTCTCTTACAAATAAGGTAGATATAAGGTCAAAATACTTTCTTTTGAATTTAGAATACAAAATCAAGTGTAAAATGGAAGAATAATTAAGAACTGTATTCTTAAATATGATTAATAGATATTGTTGATTTTAACAAAGCAACTGCAGGAAGCGATTATGTAAAGTACCAGTATACGCAGAAGCTTCCACAAACGCTGTCCTCCAGAAAAATGTCAGTAGGGTCCCCTTTCACGTGAAATCTTTTAAAGGAGTCTTTCTGACACTGTCCTTCACTAGCTAATATCTCTGGCTGTGGACCCAGCTTCTTCAAACTTTGTTCTAGCAGCAAGCAGTATTATACTGAGTTTCTGCTATATATAGTTATACATGTGAGAACATTCATCAGCAACTTGCTCCACTATTCCTGAAGTTCTTAAGATGACAAAGAAAACGGTATAAAAGCACAATCGCTTTCTCCCATCACAGCAATTTCTTTTTTCAGCTTATACCTGACCCTCTCCATCCCCCAATTTTAGGCAACAGTGAAAATGGTAAGGATACATTTCTCACCTTAACCTCATTTTCAGTCAGCCCTGCTCTAACTCTTACAAAGCATTCCATGCCACTGTGATCATCAAAATAAAGAAAAGGCATGACGGGGTCATCCCAGACAGTGGCGTCCAGCTTCTTTCGAGAACACGTCCCAGCCCTTTTGAGAACACACCTTGTTTGTTACATAACCTGCTGGGCAGGGGCTGACTGGATCGTGCAGGGAGCAGTACAAGAGCGATTCTGGCATGCCTGTAAACATGAAAAAGAACCCATGAGAGTGCCTATTTCCACAATTAGGCTCTGTTTTAACAGAGCACAACTTCACAACGTGTACTGCTTGATAAAGCAATGCTAAACAGATAGTTGGTATCTGAGGCGGGAATTACGGACAGCTTATCAATATGAATGAAAAGAACCCTTTGAAACATACTAATCTAAAAGAAAAGTTATATGAAAAGGTTCATGTCTAACAACTTGAAAGAGTTACTATAAAAGAAAGACATAGCTTTTTTTTTTAATTGCCAGAGGGCAATGTGTTTGCTAGAGATGATAGGAGAGAAAACATCCCCAATGGGGCATGGTCATACTGCAATCCCTTCTTCTCCATCCCACCTGGATTTTTGGGTATGTATAATACCTGGGCCCAGAGTGTTTTTTCAAGCCACTGGGACCAGGATTCCCATCATGGTTAGACATGTGGAATCCAGCTCCCTTAACTACCAGACCACAGGACCAGTACATGTGAGGTATTTCTTTTCTTTTTCTTTTCTTTTTTTTTTTTTAGAATTATTTCCTTTATTTTATTTATCATTATTATTATTTTTAATGTGACTTGAGCAAGACACGGAGAGAGAAAGAGAGTAAGCAAGAAAGCAAGCAGCCAGGTCCAGAACTTTCCATGGTCAGTTATGTGGAAGTCCAGCACCTTTAACCACCATGCCACCTGGTGGCCCCAGAAAGGTATTTCTTAAAGTACAACATACGATTAAAGTATTTAGTGGTATGTTAATCCCACACAATTTGATTTTAAAATTTTACTATCAAGGAGCCAGCAGGTGGCATGGTAGTTAAGGTGCTAGACTCCCACACAGGTCAACTGCAGTTCAAGTCCCAAACCCAGCAGCTTGAAACTCACATTGGGCATGTGTGTGTGCATGCCCAAAGTCTTAAGACGAGAATGGGGGAAAAGGAACTGCAGCATGGCCATCCCCCCTGGGGGTGGTTTCTCACCATTTCTCTCTTTCTGTGTCGCAGGTGAGTGCACACACCCTATTGCAAAAATCGCTCTCTAAAAAAATTTTAGCATCAAGTATACAATTCTAGGTACTACCCAAGGGGAACCAGCTACCAGAAAGATGAAATGATAATAAAAAGTTAATCTCATTATTAACATTGTGGATATCTAGAAATAGAATTCTAGGGGCATCTATAGGATACTGTGAACAGGCCTCATTCTTAGTAAGATTCACTGACTAAAGATAGCAGTTTCTTAGTTTCTTTGGTCAAAATGATAATCATTAAAAAAAAATCAAAACGCTTGCTTAGTAAACCATATGTGGTTAAATTTCATGTTACCTAACATTTTTCATAAGAAAAAATAGGATTCCACTAAAAAAGAAAAAAATAAACAAAGCAAGTTAAAAATTTGCAGTTCTCTGGGACCAACAGATGGAGCAGCAGTTATATTGCTGGACTCCCATAGGGCCCACTATGGTGTGAGTCCCAAACAGCATGGCTTAAAACTCACACAGGGCACATGTGCATGTGTGCCCAAGATCCCAGGAAGAGGAAACCAGCAGTTAACGTAATGGCTATGTCCCTGGACTCCCATGTAGTCGACCGCGGTTTGCGTCCCGGACCTGGTGGCTTAAAACTCACGCCGGGCGCATGTGGGTGCGTGCGCAAGATCTCAAGAGGAGAATGGAGGAGAAGGGATTGTGGTGTGACCATCCCCCCTGCGGGGTGATTTCTCGCTTTCTATCTCTAATGTTTCTCTCTGTCTGGTGAGCGCAAGCGCCCTATAGCAAAAATCTCTGCCCTCCCTTCCCCCAAAAAAAGATCCCAGGAAGAGAATGGAGGAGAGGAGAAGGGATTGTGGAGTGGCCATTCCTCCTGGGAGGTGATTTCTCACTTTCTCTCTCACTATATCTGTCTATCTTTCTGTCTCTCTCTCTCTGGTGAGTGCGCACACCCTAAGGCCAAAATCTCTACCAAAAACAAAATACCCTGCAGTTCTCCACTTTATTTTCCACAATTTTGATGATTACTATTATCTTAGAAAGCTTACATTAGTTATCTTCACCTGATTATACGCTTATATGCTTTAAAGCTGGTTATTAAAATCAGCCTCACATCAGGAATGATATTACATGAATTCCTCCACTGATGTAACAAGGACAATCAACAAGTCCCCCTGTAGTTCCTTTCAGAAGTGTCAGACTGAATAACTAGTGCAAACAGATTTTCATTCACTTGAGTCCTAGATACTTGGAAAAAGCTTCAGGAGAAAGTGGTCTTCAGAAGCACTGGTTCACTCATGGTCACTGCTACGCTTTCCCTATAAATAAATGGACACACATGTCTGCATGTAAAATCCCACTGTGGGGCAAAGATGATACACACACAGAATACAGCTGTACATGTACTCTACTCTCTGCTTCTGTTTGAGGCTAAAGGACTGCTTTGGATCTAGTTCAAGGTCTACCTCCGGGTCTTTGCCTGATGCCTGGAGTGTGTGCCCTACACCTGTCCACCACATTACTGCTCCCACTCTTGGCCCGGCTAACACCTGCTCTTCTTTGACCCTACTAAGATATCCCAACTTCTCTCTCAAGAATCCTTTCTTTACTGACCACCAGCCATGTGTACTTCAGAGCAGGTGCTCCTGCCTCTGGGATGTCATGACATATGTCCAGATCACTAATCCAGCCAAGCAGTCACAACATTCTTACTAGAATGATTTATCTTCATTTCAGCTAGGCTCCAAGTTTCATGAGAGCAGCAACTGTTTTCTACCAACCTTGAATCCCAAGTATCTGGTTCTTACATGTTCAAAAAATGCTTATTAAAATAATAAAAAAAGGGGACCAGCATTTAGTGTAATGGCTATGTCGCTAGACTCCCACATAGTTGACCACAGTTCGAGTCCCAGACCCGATAGCTTAAACTCATGACGGGTGCATGTGTGTGCATGCCCAAGATACCGAGAGGAGAACAGAGAAGGGATTGTGGCGTGGCCATCCCCCCTGGGGAGTGATTTCTCGCTTTCTGGCTCTCTGTCTGTCTGGCGAGCGCACGTGCCCTATAGCAAAAGAAAAAAAAAAAAAAAACTCTCCAAAAAAAAAAAATAAAATAAAATAATAAAAAAGGTCCAGGCATGGTGGTGAAAGTCAGGGGTCTCAACCCTCAAGTGGCAGGCTGGTGCCAGTCTATGACCTGTTGGGCTGCCACCCAACCCCACCAAGCTGCACAGCACGAGGGTGGGCAGCAGGAAAGCAAATGAGGCTTCCTCTGTGTTTGCAAAGCCCATACCCCCCCCCCACTACTCACATTGCCGCCTGGGCCCTGTCTCCCCTGCATCCCTCCATGGAGGGATGGTGTTCAAAGAGGCCAGTTCCTGGTGCTGGGAAGGATGGGGATGGCTAGTGTAAGAGGCAGGGGGCCATTATGTGAGGCTGTAGTCACATGGAAAGCCCAGGGTCAGTTTCTAGACCAAACTAAACAGGCCGGTGATAGTGGCATGCACCTGTAATTCTAACTAACTGGGAGGCTAGGGCAGAGGATCATGGCTTGGCAAGACCCTCTCAAAATACCTATCACTCTATTTCTCTTTTTCTTTCTCTGTCTCTCCATCCCTCTCACTCATATTTTAAAAAATGTAAAATATATGAATGAAAGAGCAGAGTACCTCCAAATAGCACCTCCAAACTCCAAATTAGTAGTTCATGAGGCACAAACAAATAATTTAATTTAAAATTTTACCTATGGGGCTAGCAGGTGGCATAGTGGTTCAGGCACTGGACTCCAAATAGCCAACCACAGTTCCAGTCCCATAACTGGCAGCTTGCTTTCTCACCTTCCCTCTCTCTCTTTCTCTCACCTTGTTTCTCTCTGATGAGTGTGTGTGCCCTAGAGCAAATTTAAAAATAATAATGATATTGAATTAAATAGATAATTATTTTAAAAATTTTACCTATAAACTTTCCAACTCCTTCCTTATATTCTGCCAAAACTTCATGATGTTCTGCGCTGTAATAAAACAGAAAAATACATAACATAATAATGAATCATTCTGTAGCTACTTTATACAACGGAAGCCTTCTCCTCAAATAAGCTACATGAGAGTAAATGTAGTCCTGAACCAAACCAAGTAAATTACCATTTAAGAGTCCCGAATAAAGAGACAAGGTTCATTCATTGGAATAATGGTGTTCAGTTGCAAGTGGTTCTGTGAGAAGAGAACCTGGGAATGATCACCGGCTCCAGAATACTTGGGTTTTCTTCCTCTTCCTGCCCCTCTACAATCACTGTTCTTAACACAACACTGCAGTTATCTTACCACATAGCAGGATTTTTAAAACTACATATGATGTCAGTGTGTATCTCACACAAAATTATCTAACTCCATTATTTCCATTTCCACACAGTAGAACCAGGTAAGTACGTGGATAGAGGATAAAAAAACTGAAGCTGATGAACAATGACAGCTCCTGAACTCCCAACTCAGGCCTCGTAGAACACTCCCTGCTCTGTCACCCGGGGAGCAGTGGCCACGAGGGCATTTTGGAACTATAGATTTGAAGGAAAAGAAAAATAGCTCTAATACTCAGGTCTAGACTACAGCTTCCAGACTACAGCCAGGTGGTGTGTAATGTCTGATAACCTTTCTTCTGGATTTCATCCCGAAAACCTACAAATTATACATATGAGAAAAAAAAAAACAAAAAACCAAGAAACCAAAACTGTCTTTTGCTGTGCCTAGATCAGGTAACTAAGCTGTGACTAAGCAATATTTGAATGACTGGGTCCAACACTTACAGGGATGACAGGGTAAGCTGAGCCATGACAGGAACACCATGGATATTATGTAGTGTGTGGTGGGTCAGGTGTGGGGCAGAGCCAGCCTTGGTATACAGAAGGCAGCCAGGAATGTCCATGGTGTGGTCCCCTGTTTTCCCCAGATGTTTTATTTTTCCTAGGCGATGGCCATTAACTACTTTGGTAAGACTCAGCTTCATCTTGAAGGCTTCCTCTAGGACCTGACAAAATAAAAGAGCATTCACTTAACAAAGAATTTCATGCCTAAAGCTCAAACATTTTACAAAGAAAGCAATCCATTAGAAAAATGCATGATGGCATGTTTATTATTCCTTATGATTTTTCTTAAGTGTCAGGATAGGGAGTAGGAAAAAGACACAGAACAAGATACCTTTCCCAAGGTCCCAGAGCGATATGATGACATCAACTACTTTTAAATTTAGGCAGAGAATTTTTGTCTGAGCTGATAAAAAAAAATAATAAATGGGAGAATAGAAGTAGAAAAACTAAATATGGAAAGAATACCATGAAGCCAGGGCTCACTCATAACCTTGAAGATGTATAGAGAAAGGACACACTGCTTAAGCTATATTGATTACTGGTTTGATCTATTTTTAATTTCTCTACTTTGAGGGAATACTAATAAAGCATTCTTTTCCTAACAATGTAATAAAGAAAACAAATTCCCAAATGGAATTCTAGTATTTATTAAAATATATGCAAAAAAATATATGAAAAGCTAAACAGAGGGCCAGCAGGGGGCATGGAAGTTAAGGCACTGGATCCCACATGGCCGACTTTGTGGTTTGAGTTCTGGACCCAGCAGCTGGAAAATCACACTATGCACACGTGTGTGCTTGCCCAAAATCCATGGCAGAAAACGGAGGAAGAAGGACTGTGACTTAGCCATCCCCCACTGGGGGGGATTCACTTTCTCTCTCTCTCTTTGGTGAGAGCATACACTGTATACCAAAAATGAAAAAAGAAACTATAAAAAGCTACACAAAGATTATCTCTGAGGTGGGATTATTTCCAATTTGTTCCTACATGGTATTCAAATAGAGATGAGAAGCTGTGTGGAGCATATGTGATTCATAAGCAATTTGTCATTGCCTGTATTGTTGAGAAAGACAAATCTTTGCTTAAGAGAAAAATAAAGACATACCTTTAACTTCTATAGATATGCAAGGGGAAAAATAATCAGAAAACATTCCCAATTATTTCTAGAATGCTACTAAATAATTAGTATTCAGTGAAGCAAAATCCTGGGTTCCATTTTTAAAAGGCACTGATGAACTTGATAAACACACAAGACAAGTAAATTTGCAAAATGTCACTGGACATACCAACCTTTTACAGACATTTCACAACATTTCTATATCAAGACATGTCAATATTGGGACCAGCAGTTAGCATAATGGCTATGTCGCTGAACTCCCATGTAGTTGACTGCGGATTGAGTCCCGGACCCGGTGGCTTAAACTCACGCCGGGCGCATGTGCGTGTGTGCCCAAGATCCCAAGAGGAGAATGGAGGAGAAGGGATTGCGGCATGGCCATCCCCCCCTGGGGAGTGATCTCTTGCTTTCTGCCTCTCTGTCTCTCTCTGTCTTTCTGGTGAGTGCACGCGCCCTACAGCAAAAATGTCTCAAAAAAAAAAAAAAGACATGTTAATATCATACCCTCTGGAATTCTGCCAGTTGGGCCAGGCCCAGTTTTTTGGTTTGTTTCTTTGTTTTGTTTTGTTTTGTTTTACCATAGGGCATGTAGGCTCACCAGAGAAAGACAGTGAGAGAGAAAATGAAATATCATCCCCCTCGGGGGAATGGCCACGTCAAAATCCCCTCTCCTCCATTGTCCTCTGGGGATCTGGGGCACACGCACACAATGTGGCCAACATGATTTTTAAGCTGTGGGTCCAGAGCTCAACCGTGTTTGAACATATGGGAGTCCTGCATCTCAACCGCCACGCCACCTGCTAGCCCCCAGGCCAGACCATTTTATTAGTAAATAAATTATTACAGCTTAGTTCTGTCCTAAGCATTATAATATATGGGTTGAGTATACCATATTCAAATGCTTGAGAGCAGAAATGTTTCAGATTTTAGATTTTTTGGAATTTTGAGATACCTTGGGATGGGAGCAAAGTCCAAACATAAAATTCATTTATGTTTCATATACAAGGGAACTGAAGCATGACCACACCCCGTTGGGGGGTACTTTCTCTTCTCTTTCTGTTTGTCTCTCCCGTACATGTCCCTTTTGGCAATTAAAAAAAAAAAAAGAAAGAAATGACATGTTGAAATGATGGAAGCTAAAATGCTACAAAGTTGTAACAGAAGATGAGAGGGAGACTACTGCAAAGTAGAGTACTCTAAAATCTTTATACTGTTTGTAGTGGGAGAGAGATACTAAATAACATTAAACTGTTAAGTGTGCATGTTAAGTGTTTAGAAGAGACCATTATTAAAGGATTAATGACAGAATGCATAATTTCCACACCTGTTTGAGAAGGATGAGGAGGATTTAAAAAAATAATTAATCCAATAAAAGCTAAGAAAGAGAGACCAATAAAGTGTGTCAAAAATACAAAATGAGATGGTAAAAATCTAATGTTGGTAAATTAATTTCACCTTCGAAAGACCTAACAATAGTAGCAGCTAATATTTATTCTTTGTTATTGTTAGTGTTGTTTGTTTTTTAATCACCAGAGGATACATACGCTTGCCAGAGACAGAGAAAACACCCTTCTAATGACATATGGTCATACTGCAATCATTTTCCTCCATGTCTCCATCACATCAGGATTTTGGCACATACACCCAAATCTGGAATCCAGCAGGTGGGATTTTTAACTACAGTAGGTCATGAGGCATCTAGCTCTCTATGTACAGGGCTTATCCACTGTGCTAAAGGGCTGACTCTCGGGAATTTTTATCATTGAGTACTATATATCAAGTATTGTTTTTTTTACATATTAATCCCAATAATCTTTATGTAAAATGTGAAATATAGATGCTATTATTATCTGCATCTTACAGATGAGGATACTGTGAGCAGCAACGTTACAACAGTTAGTGGCAAAGCTAGAATTTATAGCCTGGAAGCTTACTGGTTCCATCTTGTCCGTTAGTACATACAATGCTTACATATTAATTCTAATACTAAGACTTAATTTTATAGTCTCGTTTTCCATTTAGCTGCAGTGTTCTTATCCTTATTGTTTCTCCTTCCCTCCTATGCCTGTAACCCACTCTCCCAGCTTCTAACCCACTCTCGCATCCTCTACAGTCTTTCTCTACTCTGGCATGACCATTTAAACATGCCTACATATGGAAGGAGGTGTTTTTGGTCAAGATTTTCTTTTACAAAAATGAAACATTGTATAATACATGCACTTCCCTGCAATTTGTTCTCCTCTCAGGAATACATTATGGGTATCTTTCCCAAATTAGAGACATAGAGCTGACCGACATTTCAAAAGAACTATTTCATGACATTGCATAGTTGGATGTAACACAGTTTATTCAACCATCCCTTGGAGATGGGCAATTGTGTTACAAAGCAAATTCTAGGACAGCCACAACAGTTTGGGGGGGCACGGCTTCCCCGAGGTCATTTGCACCAATTTCGAGTCAATAGTTTATATTTCCCGATAGAAAGCTTTACATACATTGATTTTCATCACTACAAGACTCCAGTGATTTAGGTATTATCGTTCACCATTTTGCCAATGAGAAATTGAGGGCCCTAGAGTTATTAAAGTTGCCTAATGTCACGCTGCCATAAAGTAGCTTCCGCACTATTTTTAGTAATAAACCCAGATATCCCAGCATGGACTTCCCCCGGACACTTTGAGGTTCAGTCAATGAAGTTAATTTATCTTCCCTCCATGGGCCCTATCCCGGGACCCAGATCTCGCTGAGCGCCAAGCTCAGGGGATTCGAGATCCTCCCAGTCTCAAGTATCCCGGACAGTTCAGAAAGAACTTCCGGCCGAGAACTTGGCCCTGGAGCAGAAGCGGCTCAAAAAGAGGCCCCCTTCTCTCACAGATGTCGGCGACGTTCTCACGACTTGGGAGAAGGAAATTTTCGGAAGCCAAGATCCACCAGGAGACACAGAAAAAGGAAATGAACGGAGTACAGTTACAGTTACCGCCACACAACCAGGAAGCGTCCGGGCGCGACGCGACTCATCCCTCCCACCAGCCTCCACACCAGCAGGAGAAAGGGGCACTTACCTGCAAACCTCTCAACTCTTTGGGCATTCAGATTGGCATTCAGATCCCTTAAACTCCTCACAGTTCACCACCACGTGTCAGGCCTGCGGAATTCCCGGCCCCCTAAACCCTCGCCTCTGAGGCAGAGCCAATCAGAGAGCGCTGCGTCATCACCGTGCGCCGAAATAGGCGGCAGTCACGTCAAAGCAGGCCCGGGTGACCGAAAGGCCCAGGGACCGCTGCCGTTGCCATGGTAAACTGGGCTAACGCGAGCCGCCTGTGCAAAGCCTGCTGGGAGTGGAGGTTCAGAGGCGTCAGGCACCTGCCGTCCCTGCAGGAGGCGGAACTACAACTCCCAGTGCTACCCGGAAGCAGGCTGGGAGGAGAGCGACTGTTGTGGCTTCGGCCGAGGTCCGGGTTTGAGCGTGGAAAATGCTGCTAGCGTCCCAGAAAGGGTCCTCCTCAAAGAAGAGGATGGGGCCGACTCGCTGGAAACGGCTCACAGGGAAGTCGAGTCCCCAGGTGATCCCACTTGGGAGCTTTTGGGGGTTGGGGAGGTGCAGGGGGCGGTTCAAAGCACTCCCCGTCCGGAAGCCAGTAGTCGCCCGTCCTGTGCTTCTTACCTCTTAGGAGCATCCTACCTGACAGCGCCCCTGCTTTGACCAAGCCGGAGCCAGCTTTGCCTGAGCGAAGTGTTCTAGGAGCTTTGCGATCTGAGAACCTAATGGTCTTTGGTGGGCAGCAATGTGGAAAAATTGTTGACATCTAAAACTTTTTTTCAGACTGGAGAGGTCGCCTAGTGCCCATCAAGGTGAAGGGGATTCATTAACTTGTTCCCCTCTCCCCCAATTTTAGGACACTTCCTGCAATTTTCATTAATTTTTTTTTTCCTTGTTTGTTTGCAAACACGGAACTGATATCCATTGTACAGGGAATATATTCACATTCACATTAAATGCTCTGCTTGTGTCCCTCCGTTTTACATGAAAGTACCTAAAAAGAACTCAAAAGTGCAAATGGTTATTGAAAAAATATCAATATTTGACTCACCTGGAGATTTCTAAATGCAGCCAGCATTCAAAAAATAGGCCCTATGTATAGCTGTTATTTCGTGTGATACATTAGTACCTGAAGGAAAAAAACTGATAACCCCATTTTAAACTCAAAACTTACGTGCAAAGTCACAGTCACATGGTATGTGCTTTCCACAGACTGTGTTAAGTCACAAAAATAAATGCTTTAAATGCAAATGAGTACTAAAATGGAGAGAGGTTTCTCAGGTTTTCATTCCAGATCAATTATGCCTGTCATTTTCACCCTTCAGTTACACTTTTCTTAAAAATATTCTGTAAGTGTGTGGCCTTTGTGAGAGACCCAGGCATTTGGTCTAGCAGTTTCCTCTAAATATACCAACTAAAAGCACTGAACATATTCCACTGGTGAATATCTTGCCCTAGATGTTGGAGGGTGCAGACTAGCGCCTTAAAGACCTGGAAACTGAGGCTGCTCCTTCTGCTGTATATCAGCTTAATGGATTATATCTAAAACAGGCCATGAGTATATACTTGATGACAAAAGGTAAAAACTTGGGACAGTTTCTCAGGACTCTAGAAGGAAGGATTTTTGTTGCTGGTGTAGTCATTACTGCCTGGAGGATAAAAAGGCAAACAAACACACACAAGAGCTCCTTGAAGTTCAGTTGTGTTTTAATGGAATCTGTTCGTTCTTGGTTACGGTGACAAAACTATCTAGTAATACAGCTGCATTAATTAGTTATTACTAAGGTGCTTTGAATGTGAAGTGTTAGGTACGTGAAAGAATATTATAGTTTTCCCTCCTCCATGTGTCAGTACGCTAGTTTAGTTAACCCCTTATTTTAAAAGCCCAACTGGATTTTTAACAAAGCAAATATTGGTTAAGTGATTATTAGAGGAAATTCTACAAACTTGTAGGAGTTACAGAGAATGAAGAAGGGAGGTGTCTTAATGGTCAGAATTCTAATTTCAGATTAATATCTGACTGATGAAAACATATTTGTTTTCTACTTCATTTTTTGCTTTATAAAACAGTAGCAGTCAGATTGATTAAGCCTCTTATCAACCCTTCAGTTCCTGTTGGACTGAAGAATATTCCAGATATAAGTAAAATAGGAAAACCTCTTGCTACAGGCTACTCCTGAAAAGAGTAAGGACAGAAACATACTCTTCTCCAAGCAGAAGATTACTTGGATAACTTAGCTAATTAATCAGTACTTGTTTGGGTTTTTATGGGTATAATATCTAGCATCAAAACCTTGGCTCTTACTGGGGAGTTTTAAAAAATACTGATGCCTGGGTCATACCCCAGAAAGAGTAAAGCAGTATCTCAAGGTACGATGCCTAGAGGAAAAACAGTGTCCCAGAGAAGACTTCATGTTTCTTCTTCATATAGTTACTCTGTGTTCTTTTGTTGCTAATCAGTGTTGAATTTTCTTCAGGGTATACTACAGGACACTGTTCTGTATGCTTTAGTCAAAAGGACAGATTAAGATGGCAAAGTTGACAAAGATATTGCTGTGTACTGACATTGTGTATGTATTACCTACAGCCTGCTTTTGACTCTGACAGTGTGGAACACTGGATTAAGGTAAGGATATTTCAAAATCAGAATAGGAAAAAAAAAGATTTCAAAATTAGGCTAGAAAGAGAGTTGATGGTCAAGCATAATTTGACTATAGTCAAGAGGCCGAATACTAATAGGCCTCTACCTTGCACATACTTTGCTATTTTTATGCCCGTGGGACAAGGTAAATTGTCTTAATTTTATATTTTTAGTATTTTTTTAAATCTGTTGCTTCCCCCGAAAAACATTTAAGTATGAATGACAAGAAAACAGAGGTGTCTACACGTCCTTCCAAATGCCATGGATATCAGCTGAAGGGGATGACAGGCTTGGGAGAAGAGAAGTTGTGGTGGCCTTCTCCAGATGTTGGCCAAGACTGTGCTGTAGTTACCGTGACATAGGGGACGGATGGGTAAAAGCTACATCACGAGGATTTTCTAATGACAAGATCAATCTAAAAAAGGGAGTGAACCTTCTCATAAAGAAATGTGTTTTCTATAGTTGGGGGCATTGAAGTGGACTCTAAATAGTCACTTAATGTTAGGCTAAAGAAGAGTATGTTTGATGGACCAGCAGTTAACTAGGTCACTGGACTCCCATGTAGTCAACTGCTGTTTGAGTCCCGGACCCGGTGGCTCGAACTCACGCCAGGTGCGTGTGCATGCATACCCAAGATCCAGAGAGGAGAATGGAGGGGAAGGGATTGCAGTGTGGCCATCCTCCCGGGTGGGTGATTTCTCACTTTCTGTCTCTGTCTGGCGAGTGCAAACACCCTATAGCAAAAACCTCTCAAAAAAAAAAAAAAATAAAGAAAAACACACAAAAAAAAAAAAAAAAAAAAAAAAAAAAGAAGAAGAAGAAGAAGAAGAATATGTTTGAGCATTCAGTAATGGGGGACTTGGCTTAAATCACCTCTAAGATCTCTTCCAAGCCTGAGATATATATTTTTGAGTCCAAGTAACATTTAAGATGAAAGTACCATTAAATCACTTCAGGTTCATGCCTCTGAGTGTTAGTTTGGCAACTTGCCATACTCAATTTATTTGTGTAACACAAATTTCAAAATCATGCAGCATTTTTCTGGGTAAAGATCCTTCTGCCTGATGGTATTTTGAAAAGTTGTTGCTTATCTAAAGTGGCATTCATCATGAGCACTAGGCCAGATAAAACCTAGGCTAGATGAAATACATTTTAGAGTTTTGCCAGAGGGCAAGTGCACTTACCAGAGAGAAAGGTAGAGAGAAAAAGCAACCCCCATGGTGAACGGTCACACTGCAGTGCTGTCTCCTGTATTTCTCCTTCCCTTTTTAAGATTTTGGGTATACATTTACCTGGCTTGTTTTTTTAAACTACCGAGCCCAGGACTCAAACCGTATAGTCAGCCATGTGATATCTGGCTTCCTTAACCACTAGCCACAGTCTGGTCCCAGATGAAATAATTTTTAACCATTTATTCATTCAGTTGGTATATATTAAGAGCATATAAAATACTAGCTCACTGCTGGGCACTGGACAGGTACAGCTCTGGCCCTTCCAGAGTTTCTAGTACAGTGGAAGACAAGCAGCTAACCTAAAGCTGATAGGAGAATCTAGAACTGTGATGGAAATATGTGGTGGATGGCAGTAATCTCGAGAGGGCCAGGGAAGGCTTCTTGGCTACCACCGTAGAAGGCCTGACTTAGAGACAGACAAAGGGGGTCCACCATCATAGAAACTAATCTCAGAAGATCATTCTTCATCCTCTAGTAAGTCTGGCTTACATGCCAGTGCGGAAAGTCCAAGAGTGCACCCCTGCAGGGCTTAGCCACACATTAGTTGACATCTTTTCCAAAGGGAAGGTTTAATTCAATCAGGAGAAGAAAATTCTGCTGTGATTTGTTTATACTGTTTTCCTCTTTTATATAGTTGTCAGCCTGCTTGACTTGGATTTTTATTTCTTTATCATTCCTCTAAAACTTCTACAGTGTTTTTTTGTTTTTTTGGGTTTTTTGGGGTTTTTTGTTTTGTTTTGTTTTGTTTTTACATTATCCCCTCAAATGTCCAATCTTGGGGAAAAAAAATTGGTAAGTCTTTATTTGACCCTGTAGTCAATTATGATTGCTGAATAGTTTCTTTTTCCTATCCAGTGTCTTCAGATGTACAGCCTGGACTCTGCCTTTATACTTTTATTATCCTTTTGTGTATACAGTTCTTTTCCTGCAGATTCTATTCCCTTTTTTTAATTGTCAAAGGGCATGTATGCTTGAGAGAGAGGTGGGAGTGGGGAGAGGAAGCAGTCTTCAATGCATAGAGTCACAATGTAATCTCTCCTCCATTTCTCTATCCTATTGGGATTTGGGGCATGCAAACACACATGCTTAGCATTTTTTAAAAGTTTTTAAGTTTCTGCTATACAGCATATGAGCTTGCTGGAAAGAGATAGAGAGAGAGAGGGAAAGTGAGAAATCACTGCCCAGAGGACATGACCATGCCTCAATCTCTTCTCGATTCTACTCTCAGGATTTTGAGCATGCACATTGGTATGATTTTCAAGTCACTGGATCCAGATCTCCAACTACAGAGTAAGCCATGTGGGATCCAGCCATCTTAATCTCCACGCTTCTTGCTGGCCCCCAGCTAGCATGTTTTTCAGGCCACTCACACTGGGATTTGAACCATGGTCAGCCATTTGGGATCTAGCTTCCTCAACCATTAGCCTACAGGGCTGGCCTTTTCTATTTCTTCTTATTCCACAGAAACTGTTATCATAAATGATTTATTGACCAAATCTAGAGGTTCTCTGATAGTCTATCAGCATTGTCAGGTTTACATTTGATATAGTTATCATTTTTATTCTAGAAATTGTCTCCTCTTTACTGTTTACTCTTGCTTCTCCTGCTACCTCTCTTTTCATTTCTCTGCCTTATCTGCTGATTTTTCTGTCTAATATATCTTTTTTTTATATAGAATTTTTGCCATAGGGCACATACATTTGCTGAAGAAGAGAGAGACAGAGAGATACTGAGAGGGAAAGTGAAAAAAATCATCCCAGAGGGATGGCCACACTGCAACCCCTTCTCCATTCTCCTGCACTTTTAGGCACACATGCACAGGCACCTGGGATGATTTTCAAGCCGCCAGGTCTAGGGCTTGAACCATGGTCTGCCATGTGGGAGTCTAATGCCTTAACCACTATGCCACATGCTGGCCCCAGTGTCCAATATGTCTTAACTGTGGATGAACCCTAGACAATTATAACCACTGGACCAAAGACTTCCAAGCCCACTTAAGTGGACTACCCTCTCAAAATCAAGCTGAGATCTTGATACATGGAAGGGCAAGAGAATGTATGCAAAGAATATGGAGCATTGTGAAAGCCAAGAAAAGCCTGTCTTCCAAACAGAAAAGGAAGATTGCCCAGAAGCACTAGGAACTGAAGCAGTTACCATAATTTTTCATGGCACCAAAAATTAGTAGCTGAGATTGATCCAGGCTTGGAGGTTTTCATTAGAAAGGCAAAGGGATAAGGGATTTGAGGATGATGTAAGATAACAGCTGAATATCCATACTCAAAAGGAAAGGAAGGAGACCCTCTGAACTACTCTTGGATTGGGAAAAGAAGGAGACATACACTAACTAGAGTATTTGGTTAAATTTAACATCAATGTCATGCTGAAGTAGAACCCAGGGGAAGACTTTGGAATACAGAAGACCAAGTAAATCTTGAGACTGAGGTGTTGGTGGGTCATCCTCAGGGCTGTTGAAATCACTTAGAAATCAATAGAACTGTGAGTCTTGTGGCAGCTCACTCAAAATACAGCAGTCTGATTTCCAATTCAGCCTCACCTTGATTTGAGGCATCATCCGGCTCCAGTGCATTCATTAAAGTTGCAGGATACAAAGTCAATATACAAAAATCTATAGCATTTTTATACACCAACAATGAACAGTCTGAGACCTAATTGAAGAAAGCAATCCCATTTACAGTAGTTACAAAACAAATAAGATACCTAGGAACAAATCTAATAAAGGAGGTGAAAGACCTCCATAAGGAAAACTTTGAAAAACTAAAAAAAGAAAGAGTATGAGACAAAAAATAGAAGGAGGGAACCAGCAGTTAGCGTTATGGCTATGTCGCTGGACTCCCACGTAGTTGACCGCAGTTCGCGTCCCGGACCCGGTGGCTTAAAACTCATGCCAGGCACATGTGCGTGCATGCCCAAGATCCCGAGAGGAGAATGGAGGAGAAGGGATTGCAGTGTGAACATCCTCTACTGGGGGGTGATTTCTCACTTTCTGTTTCTATGTCTCTGTCTGTCAGGCGAGCGCACGCGCCCAATAGCGAAAACCTCTCCAAAAAAAAAAAAAAATGGACATCCCATGCTCTTAGATTGGAAGACTCGATATGATCAAAATGTCAGTCCTACCCAAATTACTATAATTTCCATATTCAAAATGATTCTGATCCAATGACCTGAGACATTGTCAGGATAAATAGGAAAAAGAATTACAAAATTTGTCTGGAATCAAAAAAGATCTCTTATTGCCAAGGCAATACTGAACCAAAAAAATAAGATAGGAAGCATCTCACTACCTGACTTTAGAGTATATTGCAAAGCAGTGATAATTTAAACAACATGGTACTGAGACAAAAATAGACACATAAACCAATGGAACAGAATAGAGAATTAAGAAATAAACCCCAAATCATAGAGTCAATTGATCTTTGAAAACGGGTATAGAATGATACAGTGGAGAAAAGAAAGCCTTTTTAGCAAATAGTGTTGGAAAAACTGGATATCCATCTGCTGAAAAGTGATACTGGACTCCTATCTATCACCATTAACTAGAATTAACTCAAAATGGATTAAAGATTTAAATATAAAGCCTCTAACTACAAGAAAACATAGGACAAACTTTTGAAGGCATTGGAGTAGGCAAAGATTTCTTTAATAAGACCCCTAAAGCACAGGCAATACACTAGTCCCTATAATAGACAAGTGGGATTACATCAAGCTAAAAAATTTCTTCACAGCAAAGGAAAC